AATTAAAAACGGCAGAAAATCGTGTCATATAGACTGTAATAGAGGTTCGTCATGACCCTTAGGAGAAACACCACTTAACTTTACAGACAAACGACGGGAGTGGCGCCTAGCATTACTGGTCCACAGTCGGTCATCACTCTCTGTCTCGAGATGTATTTTCCTTTATCATATTTTTAAGATAAAGGCCAAAAAAGTGCACCAAGCGCTCGATGGCCGCTTGATAGAGGTGATAACAGTTGTTGAACTCTCTTTGGGAGGACGGAAAGGTGGCCGCTTACTAAGGTTTAATTTACAACTCTTTTCTACAATTATTTCAGGTCCTTGGTTACTTGCTGCCTAATCCGGAATGGCAGCTTACAGTGCGACTACTCGAACCGGGGCTCGTAGAATAAGATTATCGAACAACATCGTTTTTGGAAACAAAAGATTCTCAAGTTCTTTTGCAAACGGACCTATTGAATTCAAGGTTCAATTATGCAATCGTTGAAAACTTAAAAACCGTTTGAACTTACCTCTCGGGAAAAAATTAAATTTGTGAATATTGGTCCGTTCGCAAAAGCAAATGAGAATCTTTTGTTTCCTAAAACCGTTCTGATTAAATAATATTTTTCCAAGTGCCTGGTTCGAGTAGTCGCATGGTAATAGAGGTTCAACTGTAATATCATTTTTTATATATATTATACTATCAAACACGCGAAAGAGTGTTTTCAGAGTATGTACACTAGTATTCTGGACTTCGTACCAAGTGGTGCGGGTTAGGGCCCCTGTTAGGATCAATTTTTTGTGTTCTTGGACAATCAGGCACTACTTTATTACAGTAAATGGGCACCGTTGAATTTAACGGCTGGGTGTAACCCCGAGTTCGACTAGCATGCCGTTCAGGGGGTGGGGGGGTAGAAATATCCCACCTATAAAGGAACCATGTTAGCTGCAGAGACCAATTTATGCTCCGGCCAGATTAGCTAGAATGCAGACTAGTATGGTCGGCCATTTGTTTCAAAATTATGACACGATATACGTGCGGTTTTTTCCCACGTATACTTGCAATCATTCCTGCTACACGATATACGTGCGTTTTTTGTCACGTATACTTGCATTTTATTCCGAAGTATATGACCATTTTCTTACAAACGCGCATATAGATGCGCACAAAAAAAAATCATATATATGCAGTTACAAACAAGCATGTGGTATATGCGGTCACAGAAAGTCGTCATATAAGAGGCACCGAATTATACCGTCCGCAAAAAACCCCTTCATGTACGATGGAGCTGAAAAGTAACTTAGTTTGAATCAGGCATGGCTGCAATGCCCGCGGTAATTTCGAGGAAGATTGGGTTCTTATTCATTGCCCTCATAGTAGTGGTGGTTGTTGGCTCCCCGACAACGGATTTGTTGGAATCCGTGGATTGTCTCTTGAGAGATTGTGTACGCTATTTCACAAAAGCTGACCGAAACAACGATCGATTCAGTTAGAAATTAGCGTCCGACAGGCAAAATACAACTCATAAGCTCTTGATGTAATGTGAAACATGACCTTGAGACCTTTCTTCTTTTCTCTCTCGCACGCGAATTATCACCTTTTCGCCTCCACGAACACGTTCTGCGCCTCCTAGTCTCGAAGCTTTTTATTATTTCCCTGGTATTCTCACTGACTTTAATAGCCTTCTACCTGCCTCTCTTTCCTTAGTGCTCCTCCACTTTAATTGTGATTTTCATGGTTAACTAACTCGTTCTCGTTCACCTTGCATAAAATGTCCCTCAGGTATCAATTTGCTATTAGTTCTCAAGCCCCGATTAT